ATGCCTTCTTTAGCTATTTGTTTACCCTGAACTACAGTTTTCACAAGAAAGGTGGGAGGAATACATGATTCTTCTTAATGTAGCAATGTCTGGAATAGTACACTGGAGCCTCAACAACTTTCTCCAGTTTTTTTTTCTTTCTTTCTTTTTTGAGGGCCCCTGTGAACCCATCTGGGTCTACGTTTCTGGTGTATTTCAACTTGTGCCAGACGGACTTCTTTTGAAGCTCAGACTGAACTTCTTGGAGGTGGCCCCTGGACCCTCGGACATAGAACCCCAGCAATCTGTTGAGAGCTTCGCATCTCTGCGGGGGACAAGGTGTTGCAGGCTTGTTTTAGTTTTTCCTGCCTCGGAACTGGGGTCAGCCTTGTCCTTGAAAAAACTGGGGTCACCCTCGGAGGGAGATGCTATTTGAAGGCAGTAGCCCGTCCCCCTAGAAATCTAGAGGAGAGGTAGCGAAATATGCAGGCATTCAGCGGGTCAAGACGCCAGACGCTGCCCACCCCAGTGCTTCTGTGCTGGTCTCCTCGCCCTCTGCACCTGTCTCCCCTGTGCCCTTCTGTGTCTGTGCAGCGGCTGTTGGATAAGTAGGAGGAGTTTCACGAAGCCCAGGCAGCCCCGGGGACCGGTCCGCTCTGTTATCTGTCCGCCCTCCCCCGACAGCCTGTCACGTGTCCTCCCCCTTCCCTCCCTCCACCTGATCTTATTCTCTCTCTGCTCTAAGAGGCTGTCCTGACCTAAGAGGATTGGAATGGAAGCGGTCAGGGTCAGAGAGCTGCTTGCGGCGGATGGCCACAGGGGGGCAGCAGAGGGAAGCGGGCGCTGGAGAGAGACAGCGCCCCAGGAGAGGGGGCGAGCGGGGTCCCGGGGGGTCCCACCAGAGAGGACAGAGGGAGGGGGACGTTCTGGAAAGGAGGACTGGGGGTGGGGGGTGATTTCAGATTTACAGAAAAATCGAGAAAATACGTATCCAGCGCTCCATTCACATCTTACCTTAGCAGGTGCGTTTATTACAATGAGTGAACCAACAGTGATAAACTCTCATTGACTAAAGCCCTTAGTTGATTCGGTTTTGGTTCGTTTTTCCCAAATGTCCTTTTTCTGTTCCAGGATCCCACCCTGGGCACTACATGACGCGTCTCCTGTGACAGTTTCTCAAGACTGTCCTCGTTTTGATGACCTGGATGGTGTTGAGGAGTACGGGTCGGATATTTGGAGAATGCCCCTCTGTGGGAATTTGTCTGAAGGTTTTCTCATGACCAGATTGGGGTTATGGGTCTGGGGAGGAAGACCGTGGAGGTCCCATCAGATCAAGGCTACACAATCATCTAGCCATGGTAGGGTCTGTCCGGGTTCTCTCCTTCCCTGCCTGTGCTCTTTGGGAGGAAGTCACTTCGGGGAGCCCTGTTGTGTGTCTGGCTGTGCCTGCTGAGGCTCAGAGAGGTGTTGTCACCTGCCCCAAGTCACACAGCAGATTCCTGGTGCTGCTGGTCTTGTCCGGCCCTGCGTCACTCTACGCTACGGAGGCGCGGGTTAGAGAGATACAGAGGAGAGAAGAGAGCCCAAAATGCATAAGGGGAAAGAGAAGGGAGGGGGTCAGGAGGCAGGAAGAAGATGGGAGCCTGGGAGGAGTTGAGTGAGCCATGGAGATTGGGGACCCAGACAAGAAGGGCATGAAGGAACGCACCAGGCGAGGGGTGGAGAGAGACAGAGGCAGAGAAAGACACCGAGAAAATTCTTTACATGTTGCTATCCTTAACCATTGTGATGGCGGATTCTGTTTGCTGAGCACTTAGGATGCTCAGGCTCAGTTAAGATTTATATGACTTGGGGGTCTGGGCGGCCCAGTTGGTTAAGCATCCGACTCTTGATTTGGGCTCAGGTCGTGAGCTCAGGGTCGTGAGATCGAGCCCCACGTCTGGCTCCGTGCTGGGTGTGGAGCCTGCTTTGGGATTCTCCCCCTCTGCCCTGCCCCCACTCTTTCTCTAAAAAATAAAATAAAATAAAATAAAATAAAAATTATATGATTTGACTCATTTGATCCTTCTCAAATCCCTCCTTCTCACCAAGAAACCCTCACGTGAAAAGCTTATACACTTCTAAAAAAATCTTTCTTTAAACCTTTAAAATGGTTATTTAATTTGCATTCACTAAAGTGCGCTGGTCTGACCTGTTAGGTGTAACTGACTCAATAGCAGCTCCACTTCCCCCAAATATCCCGGGGGCGTACTTGTGTTTCCCTCCAAGCTTCCAACCTCAGCGACCATCGACTTGCTTTCTGTAACAACAGATGCATTTTTGCATCCTTTAGAGTGTCAACAGAAACGAGATCACACAGTATATCATCTCTTGTGCCTGTTTTCTTTCCCACTCAGTATAAGGATTTTGAGATTCTCCCCTGTGGCTGTGTGTATCTGTAGTTTGTTCTTTCCATTGCCAAGTGGCACCTGCTGTATGGACAGACCATAATATTTGGACCCATCCCCTCACACTGTCTGCATTTTTGTCCACCACGAATAAAGCTGCTATGAACATTCTCGGATTCTGTAGAGGCTGACCTGGCCTAAGAGGGTGGGGGCAGGTGGTAAGTCGGGTCAAGGCCAAGGAAACCTCCTGGGGAGAAGCCTGGGGATGGAGGGGGAGGATTGGGTGGGTATGGGCAGGAACCAGAGAAGGAGAAGGAAGGGGAAACATGGGGGCAGGCAGCGCAGAGAGGTGGGGGAAGAGGGAAGGGTTGTGGGGGTGGGGGTCGTCTGGTGGCAGAAGGATAAGACCACCTATTTGCTCAGCACTTCCTGGAAATCAGGCTCTGTGTGGAGCAAATAAATGGCACACTCCATATGACTCCCACCCGTGCACGTGGAGAGGGTGTGGTTGGTACCCAGAGTCTCATGGACGTCCAGCTGTCCACATGTCCTATTCCAAAGAGTCCAAGAAGCAGATGGGCTTGGCACAATTTGCTGGCGCAGGTTAAAGGCTATGGCTCTCCAGCTGGGCTGCCTGGTGCTGGCTCATGCAGCTCGGGCTCTTGCTGTCTTCTCGGAAAGGCACTCGGATGCTCTGATGTTTGGTGTGACCTCCAGGAGGCAAGGGATTAAGCTGCCTGCCTTAAAGGACCTTTCTGTAAGGGTATTAGAGCACACAGGACAGCTGCTGTCACATGGGAAGTGACACATGTTGGGGGAAGGGGGCTGCATGTTCTGGTTTTGAGAGCAAGAAATTCCAGTGCCTCAGTTTCCCCTTCTTTCTGTCCCCCCCCCATCTCTACCCTCTGTCTACCTGTTACTCTGCCCCTCAGTCTCCTTGTGGGGTCTCAGGGTGTTTTTCTGTGTACATTCCTACTGGGGGCTCTCTCATAAGCAGGAGGGGTTTCATTATATCCTGGCAGTTGTTCACCCCCACCCCAAGTCTGTCACATGTCCCTCTAAATCCCTGCTAATTCTCCCTATATTTTGCTGAGGCTGGCCTGCCCTAAGAGGATTGGAGCATTTGCTAAATAGGAACAGGACGAGGTCAAGAGAACCTGCTGTGGGGAGGCTCAGGGGCCAGGATGGCCACAGGGGGGCAGCAGAGAGACTGGAGGCAGGAGCCAAGAGGGAGCTCGCACTGGTGGGAGGATGGAGAGATGGTGGACCCCAAATGTAGACTTTGTAGATACTGACCCATAGGTGAAAGGGTCCCTCACGTATGACAAATTACCAGGCTCTTCATCAACTGACCACTGAAAATCCCTGAGGGAGAAGAAGAAAATCCCTGAATCCCTACCTCACATCATACAGAACCAATTCTAGATGTACTCAAGACCTCCTAAACACGAGATAAAATGATAAGATAAAGATTTTAGAGAACAAAACAGAATATCTTTAGGACCAAGTGCTAATGAAAGACCCCCACCACCACCCGCCACTGGAAAACTTTCTTAAACAAGAAAGCAAAAGCGAAAAGCATTAACTTCGAGCAGGAAAAGCAAATGAAACCAAATCACACCCAAGCTATAGTCAAAGCGGTACCCCGGGGTTCTCAACCCCGTGCCCTCTGTGCATGGATTCTACAGTTTTCCACAAGGCACGTAGACCCAGGGATGTCAGCTTTTTTAAACTTTTATGTCAACTTGAAAATGGGCTTATCTTGTGAAAGTCATTTTTCCTTTTTGTTAATAACTGTAGTTTGCTTTCCAGCATATCACCATGCCAGGGATGGTAAGGAAAAAGGAAAGAAACTGGTTCACAATGACAGATAATGAGAAGCACTGAACTTGACAAAATTCAAACAGCAAAATTTTATTTATGAAAATTATGAAAAAATGCAAATAGGAAAAAATATTTGCAATACACTATCATCAAGAAGGAGGTAAGGATAAATGGGTTAAAGATAAAAATGGGGTCCCTGTCTGGCTCCGGGCGGTAGAGCATGTGACTCTTGATCTCAGGGTCCTGAGTTCAAGCCCCACAGTGGGAGTAAAGCTTACTTTAAAAAAAATGGGATAAAAAAACCAACCCCCTTGTGAATATTCCTAAAGTCCGAGGACATGTGAGACGTGTGAGGTGTAACTTCTTGATCAGCAGTACATGAATATTAAAACCACAGTGAAGGCTCAAACCAGCTGACTGGCAAGCATTGAAAGGTCCAACATCCTAAATGTTTCTGAGGGCCCCCACCAGAGGAGAGCTGGGTGAACCCGGCCAGTGAAGGCTGGTAGAAAGCTCTCGAAGCGCTGGTGAAGCAAACAGTGGGGGCAAGCAGAGGCTCCACCACGTGACCCCTGGGATCCCACACAGATGCCCATATGCGCCCTATATAATGCTGGGGGGACACTCACAGAGGGGGTGGGTTTGCTGTGAACATGAGAGGCCACCTCTGAGGGCAGGGGCGGGACAAAGGGAGGTGTGTTCCTGACCACAACCCCTGTCCCCACTCACATGAGGCCATCTGCAGGCTGACCAAACCATTGTCCCCTCTGACCCCGTGGGAACTGCAGGACTCCGTGAGGACAGATTCCCCTATAAATCCAGTAACCTCCTGAGGTCCAAGTCACCGTCCTCGGTGGATCCGGACATCAAGGGGAACGAGGGTTCCTCCAAGGGGTCTTGAGGCAAGAGGAGTGCTGTGAAATAGGGGGCCAGCATGGGACGTGGCGAGAAGTCTGAGGAGAAGGAGTTCTGAGGCCAGGCCAGGTCCGGGGCTGGGACAAGGGCCTGGGCAGCCGGGACATGGTCCTGGGAGCCCAGCTCTGGGTCCCACCAGTTTTGGTGGATGCTGTAGACACTGATGCTCCCTGGGAACCTGGATCTCCCAGGAGCCAGGACTGGGGCAGGATCAGGGACAGGAACAGGGGTAGGGACAGGGAATGGAGAAGGGAAGGCAAAAGGGACTGGGAAGGGGTCAGGCACAGGGATAGAATCAGAGGCAGGAGTTCCAGGGCCCTGGGGTGCAGAGCGGGCTCCCCGAACTCGCCCTATGGGCAGTCCCTGCAGCCTGGTGTGCCTGGCCCGAAGGTTCTTGAACCACACCTGGAGGGAGGGACGGGGGGGGGGGGGGCAAGGAAGAGGTGTGAAGGGGCTTGCCTCTGTCCCAGGGGTGGGGCTACTGGGAGGACAAAAGCCCCTCTCATCAAGGAAATGCAGATCAAAACCACAATGAGATCCCACCTCACCAGTCGGAAGGGCTCAAATTAACAAGTCAGGAAATGACAGATGCTGGCAAGGATGTGAGGAAGGGGAACCTTCCTACACTGCTGGTGGGAATGCAAGCTGGTGCAGCCACCCGGGGAAAACAGCATGGAGGTTCCTCAAAAAGTTGAAAATAGAACTACCCTATGGCTCAGCAATCGCACTACTGGGGATCTACCCAAAGATACAAACGTAGCGATCTGAAGGGGCACCTGCCCCCACCAATGTTTATAGTAGCAATGTCAACAATAGCAAAACTATGGAAAGACCCCAGATGTCCATCGACAGATGAATGGATAAAGAAGACGTGGTAGAGATCTACAATGGAATACTGTGCAGCCATCAAAAAGGAAATCTTGCCATTTGCAGTGACCTGGATGGAACTAGTCAATCAGGGAAAGAGAATTATCATATAATTTCACTCCTATGTGAAATTTAAGAAACAAAACAGAGGAGCATGGGGAAGGGAGGAAAAAAATAAAACAAGACGAAATCAGAGAAGGAGACAAGCCGAGGGTTGTTGGAGGAGTGGGGGTGGGGGGATGCGGTAACTGGGGGACGGGCATTAAGGAGGCACGTGATGTGATGAGCGCTGGGTGTCATACAGCACTGCTGAATCACTGACTTCTACCTCGGAAACCAGTAATACCTTATATATTAATTGAATTAAATAAATATAATTAATTGAATTTAAATAAATAAAAAAAAAAAGCTGGCCTCATACCACTGTCCTATGGGCCCAGGTCCAAATCGAGGACAGAATGTGGGGTACAGAAAGTTACAGGGGCAGCTGCAGAGGGCAGCAGGGGCAGGGCGGGGGCACCCCGCACCCCAGGGGCAGGGCTTCACCGAGGTCCAGCCCGGCGGCCTCAGTCCGGGCGGGATCACGTCAGCGGGTTTGGACAGCACAGGGGTTGAGCTTAACTTGGGGTCCGGCCCCACGTCTACACGGGGGCCCCTTGTTAGCCGCGTGGGAGCCTCTGGCCTCAGTCTGCTCAGCGGGCGCGGGGGAGGGCCCAGACCCCACCAAGTGCCACCTTCCTAGTAGATCTCGTGAACACTGGGGCCCCGGGGGCGCGGGGGTCCTACCCGAAATTGCTGTTTGTCCAGGTGGAGCCGGGCGGCCAGGGCCAGACGCTCCTGGGGGCTGGGGTAGCGGTTCCTCGCGAAATGTTTCCTCAGCTCCCGCAGCTGCGCCTTGAGGTACACCGTGCGCTTCTTCCGGGGCCTCGGGAGCCTTTGGGGTGCTGGGGGCCCTGAGCAAAGGACCCAGGGTCAGACGAGCCTCGGAGAGAGCCCCCAGCCCGCCGCCGCCCCTCCCCTGCCTGGGCCGGGCCCCGCGAGCAGGTGGGAGGCTCCGGCCCGGGCGAGGCACAGCTGCGGGTGGGCGGCGGCGCGTGGACCAGACGCCCTGCGGGCTCCGGCCCAGGCTCTCCCGCTGCCGGCCAAGTCCCTGCGCGAGTCCGGGCCTCAGGGTCCCCGTCCTTGAAACGGGCCCGATTACAGGGCCCGTCTTGTGATTCCGGGGCCTGCAGCCATGGAAGGCGGGCAGGGTGGGCGTCGCAGGCTCAGGCGGGCTCCCACCCCCTCCTGCCCCCCAGCTCCTCCCTCGAAGGGCCAGAGCCTTGCTCACACTTGTGAGGGGCGACTGCGCCCCGGGCCCTCTGCTCAGCCCACCCCCAAGAACTTAAGTCCAGTCCCAACCCCACAGAAGTCCCCACAGCACAGTGTGAGACCCCCTGCCCGGGCGGGGGGGCCTCCCCAGCCTCGGCCCGGCTCTGGGCCCTCAGGCAGGCCCAGGCGCACCTGCGGGAGGGCCTGGCGCCATCATCCTCCGCTCTCCTCGCTCCCCGGCGGCCTGTGTGCGAGGCTCTGTCCCCAGAACCCGGGGCTTAAATCCCACGGGCCAGCGGTGCCCACCCACACCCAGCCTGAGGGTCCTGGGACTCTCCCGTACTCAGCCCCCCTCGGCCCCGCCCCTGCCGGACTCACAGGGAGTGACTGATCCTTTCCACCCTGTGGGTGGGGGCGGGGCTGGGACCTCCGGGAACACCCAGCCTGGGTCCCACCCTCAGGGGCTCTCGCCCAGGGGAACCCCACGTTGCCCATCATGTGGGGTCCCCGTCGCAGGAAAGGGCCCCTGCAGCCAGCGCCCTGGGGTCATCCCATCCCTTCCCAGTCCTGGGAGCCCCAGTCACCTGCTTCCCTGTCCAGTCTCCATCCTGTCCTGCCTGCTTGGTCCAGCAGCCTCTCTCCTTGCCCCACAACACCACTCTCGCCTTCTGGTTCCTTCTCCAAGTAGCCCCCGAGTCCTGGACAGAGAAGAGCTCAGACACGCTGGCCCCGATGCTGGTTTGGGGTCCATGCTGGTTTTCCTATGGGATGGAGGCCGCCGGGGGTGCGGGTGGACGGCTGCCCCTTCCTCTTAGTGAATGAGTGAACAGGGCTGCTCCGTGTGTGGACTGGGGAGCTCGGGCGGGGACCAGCCCCTCCAACGACACAGACCCTCATCTCGGCACCAGACGAGCTCCTCCCTGGCGCTGGGTCTGCTCAGGACTCGAGTCCAGGGAGAGCAGAGCTTGCAAGGCTCAGGTCTGGGGGAGGCCTGTTATTTTCATGAGCGGGAGATGAGGGGTAGGTAGGATGGGGGATCAGACACAAAATGAGGGAAAACAAAACGTTCTTATTTGAGGTTTGCCTGAGGGTCTCAGGAGGCATTCTACCATAAGTGGACATTCGTGCCCCTTCCTTTCTGGCAAGATTCTGCCTTAATTGGACATCTTTTTCTCCTTGGGCATGTAGGAACCCACAGGTCACCAAGTCAATGGCTCTGCTGTCTGCAGTGGGCATCTAGCAATTTCCTTGTTGTAGAAGATGTGACCCAAGGCCAACTTCTCTTTCATTTTTAAAAGAAATGAAGGAGGGGCGCCTGGGTAGCTCAGTGGGTTAAGCCCCTGCCTTTGGCTCAAGTCATGATCTCAGGGTTCTAGGATGGAGCCCCGCATTGGGCTCACTGCTCGGCAGGGAGCCTGCTTCCCCCTCTCTCTCTGCCTGCCTCTCTGCCTACTTGTGATCTCTGTCTGTCAAATAAATAAATAAAATCTAAAAAAATTGTGGTTATATATATATATATATATATATATAATACATGATATTTGTCATTTTAACCATTCTTAAGTATACAATTTAGTGGCATTAAGTACAATCACAATATTAAAATGGTTACAATATTGTGTAACCATCACCACTGCCTCTTTTTCGTCCTCCCCGGGGCAGAAACAAGAACTCCTCCTTCTGCCCTCCCTCTGCCCCTGGTAATGTCCAATCCATTCTCCGTCCCTTTGAATTTGACTAAGTAAATCATGTAAGTAGAATCGTGTGATATTTGTTCTTCCGTGTCTGGCTTATTCACTAAGCATAATGTCTTTATTTTTAAAAATTTAAGATTTTATTTTTAAGTAATCTTTACACCCAACACGGGGGTCGAACTCATGAGCCTGAGATCAAGAGCCACATCTGGGGTGCCTGGGTGGCTCAGTTGGTTAGGTGTCTGACTCTTGATCTCAGCTTGGGTCATAATCTCGGGGTCATGAGTTCAAGCCCCATGTTGGGTTCCTTAAAAAAAAAAAGTCAACTTGTATCTGAACTTTACAGTGCTGTGATAAGGGTCCGCATCTATTCAGGTGGGGGAAGAGTCCCAAAAACTCCCAGCCAAGTGCTAGGTATGTGGGAAGAGGAACGTAGTGCTGGTTCCCTGACCAGACAGCCGTCTGTCCCCACAAGTTCTTGATGTCTTGCCCTTCCCTGTTCAGAAGGTTCCAGAAAGAATGTGGTTCGTGAGTTCCTGGGGCAGGGGGGTGTCTCTACAGAATGGTGTCTTTGGGAAGAGGACCAGAACCTTCATCAGATGCTTAAAGGAACTGACTGTCCTGGGGAGCGACTTGCTCCTCTGCTCTGAAAACCCTTTCGTAGTCTAACCGCTGTCCGTGCTGCTGTGTATGAAAGAACAGAGGGGATGCGGCGGCTGAGGGCAGCCAACTTCTGTCCCCTAAAAACACACATGCCAGGAATTAATAATTCTGGCAGAGAAAATAGGGTCTCTATGGGCAGGCGAGATCTGGAAATGTAGACAGAAGGCTTAGGTTCCACGCTGACCGTGAAGGTGAGACCCAAAGGTGGGGAAAACACTTTCTAGGCACCGGGAGCTCAGTGTGTGAGAGGTCTCAGACCTCGTGGGGTTTCAGAGAAGCAGAAGGAGTTTTCATTCTATCTGGACAGGCTGTCCGGCCTCCCCCCCACGGCCTGTCACGTGTCCCCCCCTTCCCTCCCCCAAATCTGATCTAATTCTCTCTCTGTTCTGCTGAGACCCGCCGGGCCTAAGAGGATTGGAGCATTTGCTAAATGGGGACCCGGACAGGGTCAGAGAGGCTGCTGCTGGGGAGACCCAGGGACCAGGATGGCCACAGGGGGCAGCAGAGGAGATGAGGAGCCTGGAGGTGGACAGAGCAGGGAGAGGAGAACACAGAGAGGCACCTGCAGTGTTTAGGAAACTGTATTAAAAGGGTTAGGAGGAGGCCAACATTTCTTATTTTAAATATTTATCATGAACCTATTTCCTGATCTCCTCCTATCCACTCTCCCTTCTCTGTCCCTTTGGAAGTAACAGGGGGTTCTGGAGACCCAGAAAGGGGATATAGGTATGGAGGTCTGGGGACATCGGACTGGGGCTCTCAGAGATGACCTGGGAATGTTCTGAAAGGCTCCGACCCATCAGGAATCTATGTAGAGCCCTGAGGTCTGCCTCTGACATGGGGCATCACGCAGCTTTGCGGTGTCCTAGGAAATCATCAAAAAAAATTTTAACACAGAATTTTAAATATATTTTATTTATTTTTTAAAAAATACATTTTAAGTAAATTGAAAAGCATTTAAAATATTTTTTAAAAATTCCTCAGTTTTAATGCCTACTACAGTAAAAGAGCAACTGACATAACCAGTATCTTTGGTAACTTTCGGGAGCTGGACAGGCTCCTGGGGTATGTCCATCCTCCATGAAAACCCTGTTCAGACCCAGGCACAGGTTTTTGTTTTTAAAGATTTTGTTTATTTGACACACACAGAGAGAAATTACAAGTAGGCAGAGAGGCAGGCAGAGAGAGGAAGGGAAGCAGGCTCTCTGCTGAGGAGAGAGAGCAACTCGGGGCTCGATCCCAGGACCTTGAGATCATGACCTGAGCTGAAGGCAAACGCTTAACCCTCTGAGCCAGCCAGGCGCCCCAGGCATAGTTTTGATGGCAGACCAGCCAAGGCCCAGATATTGTGTCTCTTCATTGTTAGCTGAGTATCTGTGGGCCAGGCACTCCTCTCTCTCAGTCTCCGTGTTCCTCCCAGGAAGGCTGGCGTTGAGAACCCTCCTTCCAGAGCCGTCCATGCATCCATCAGGCACACCACCCCGACGGGTCCAGCCGTCATATCGAAATCTACCCCTGAGCTTGGTCAATATCCCCTCTGCAAAGTATGGGGGCAACTCACCCCATTTCTCTGGGTTCAGGGGTCCCTGGGATATGAAACTTCTAGGGCTAACCCAGGACAGTCCCAAGAAAACTGGGTTGGTTGGTCACGTTACCCCTATACTCCTCAAGGACCCCATCTTTTGAGAACCCTGTGTGTCCCTGTGGTCCAGTTGCTACAGGGCTTGTGTCCCTAGGACCCAGCATCACTGTTGGGGCCCAAGGTGTGTTCTGTGCATTCATGTATACACACACAGATAAATGTAATATGTGATGTGCCTATAATGTTTAATGTCATGCGATCTATGTTATATAATATAATACATGCAACACACATATGCATGTCTGTCTACGTCTCTTTTATGTATGAAGAAGAGTACATCTTTATAAATCTTCACAAAGTGAACACGCTCAGTTAGCAACACCCAGATCAAGAAATGGTTCCAACGAGGGGCGCATCTCACTCTTGATGTTAGCTCAGGTCATGATCTCAGGGGTGTGAGATCAAGCTCTGCACACAGCGGGGTCTGCTTGAGATTCTCTCTCTCTCCCTCTCCCTCTGCCTCTCCCCTTCCCAATAAATAAATCTTTAAATAAAAGAATAAGAAATGGATACCACCAGGGCCCCCCAAGAAAGTTTCCTCATATCTCTCCACCTGCTCCCCCTCCCCTCATCAATGGCAACCATCACCTTGACTTCTAACCCCACAGAGCTGGGGTGCCAGATGTAAATGGTGTCAATGGGACGATACCATAGTCTCTGAGTGTGCTTCCTGTTTGGGGCTATTGTGACAATGTGCTCTAAACGTTCTTCTCATCTTCTTCATGACATAAGCCTGTGTTCCTGTTGGGTACGGACCAAGGAATGGAAATGGCTGAGTTACATAATAGGCACACATTCACCTTTTAACGGTATGGCCATGTGGTTTCCTAGAGGGGCTGGAGTACCTTACTCCACCAGTGCTCACCAGCCGTGTGCAAGTCAACACTTAGAATTGTCGGGCATTCATTTTAGCCATCTGGTGGGACACAGAGGTATCGTTGTGAGGTTTTCACTTCCATTTGCCTGGCGACTGTTGAAACCGAGCCTTGGGTCATGCATGAATGGATAACCAGAAGGGAAGGCTATCTTCCCTTCTGAAATGGCTAAGTCTTCTGCAACCTGGGCAAATTTCAAAGCAACGTGATGCTTCATAATCCCAAAGGATGGGCTAAGGGGGACCACTCTCTCTGCCCTGGGGACCAACCCCTGGAACCCAAGCCTCGTGCTCCGGGTTCCCAATGATCAACAGCCACTGGGCCCAGCCGCCCATCTGAGCAG